CTGCTGATTCAGAGGGAAAGGAGTTAACCCTTTCAAGTTCTGGGTCAAAGGAGCGCTGAGGTATTGAGCCAGCTACTTCAATGCCATGTCAAGGTTTTAATGTGGCTGCCAATACTCCGAATGGATCTGAAAGTCAGACTCGAGCTGAGCTTTAGGCCAGCGAGGGCAGAGGGAATAGCCTGGGAGAAGTAGGATTTAAAAGATGGCAAAGAGTCAGGGAAAACTGTAGAGATAAAAGTGAATTGTGTGGAAGCCAACAATGTGGGATAAAAGGCTTATTTCCTACTGTACTCAGGGCAGGAGGGGGGAGGCTGAAGTCTGTGTAACTGCGTCCCTGTGAGAGTCCCCTGCCTTTGTGAAGACATCATGCCAAGAATATTCATGGCTGAGGTACCGGACATTAGATTTTCCCACTGGCTCAGTTCGGGTGCAGAGATGGTTCCTGTTAAACCTACAGTCTTCCTCACCTGTAAAACAGCAGGTTACTTCAAGCATGGTCCTGCCGTGATCCCTGGAGTTCCTAGGCACTGCATCCATACTTCTCTCTAGCAATTAGATTGAGGTAACAAAACAGCTGACTAATAAAGACAAGACTCAAGCCAGCCAGATTTAATATCATGTACACTAAAAAAAGCTATAGCTCTGAGAACCAATAAGCAACTGTTGACATATGCAATGCTTTATACAGGAGGACTCCTTCCATATTATCCAGCTTGTAGTTTGAAGCTTAATATTCAAATAGATTTAAAGAGCTTAATTTAAATTATTCTTCTGTCACAACTCCAAAACAAATTAATACTTAGTGCCCCTAGTAAATTCTCTTCCCAGACTGCTGTGTCTTCCAGAGTAGCCACTAATTTGGGGGAAGCTAACAGAGATGTGGCTTTTGGACGTGCAGAGCACCCACAGCTCCTGCTGATGTCAAATGAAATGGCACAATTTTAGCACGTTGCAAAAGCTCCATTAAAAACGAATTCACTGTCATCTCCAGTTTCCTGGCACCAGTACATTATCGAATGGGCTTTATTTCAAATCCTTTGTGCAGACTGGGCTAGCTGATCGATAAAGCACAGACAAGAGAAACAGCGTGTCCCCAGATGACACCCATTTAAACACCCTTGGCACACAGGCAGGGTGGCAGGAGGGATGCTTTGCTGCAGAGGCCACCTCCTGTTCTCGACTCTTGTTCACACCCTCCTGTGCTGCCGTGTGGAATCCGGGAGTGTACACAGGTATAAACCCCCAAAATTTCTCCCTCAGCTAATTTCAAAGCCTATTTACCCAACTGGATACACAAGGATTACAAAGTGCATTGCAGGGCATGTTTGATTAGTTTAGTCCTTACACAGTTCAGTGCAACTGTCGGAATAAATGACTTCTTTAGGGGAGAGAGGGGAAAAATACACATTTGGTTAATCACCTTTATATTACAGCAGTTCCCAAAGATTAAATATGCACTGCACAAAACAGCTAACTAGGAAAGCATTTTAATGTTACCAATTCACTTGCAAAAAATAGGCTTTGAATAAAAAACCCTGCTTCTGTTCTTCAGCAGTGTCTAATCCTAGAAACCTGAGTTCACATGAAATCTGTAACTCACCTATGGCTCTTGTTGTTGAATTGCTGATATTATGCACCTTATTGCTGAAAATAATAATTGCAGATATTATTAGAAGTGGCAGGGACATTGCAAACAGGCTGAGATTTCATGGATGTGAGCTTTTTTGCCAAATGTTTAACATTGCTGCCTGGCACCTAAAATTGACAGCAAAGTTGTACTGCATTTGGTGGAAGCTGAAGCTCTTCCCAGTATTGGGTGAAAATTCCATTTCTGGGGAGATTTCCGCTCCCCTTTTGTTATAAACCCATGTGTTTATGGGTTGGGAGTTACTGCTGGGCAGCAAGGGCTGTTGATAGCCCTCCGGGTGGGAGGAGAAGGCTTTTCAAAGGGAATGACATTTGCTTAGTAACAGGATACAAAAAGGTCGGCATGGTCTGTTCCCTGGTCTGCTGAATACCTTTTTCACTGGACCTCGGGCGACTGCTTGGTTCTGACATGTTTTTAAGGAAATCAAGTGTCTAAAGATGTACAAAGCAGCTACTGAAGTCCAAAAGAGCATTTAGACATCTGACACCTGCTAGTTTTTATTTGAATTCCTGTATGTTTTTTAAAAAGCCATCAGTGCTTCTGTACTTTGTATCTTGCCTGTATCTTTCAACAGTCCAAACAGTTTTTCAGAGCTCTGAATTTTCAAAAGGTTGCAAACCTCTCACATTCAAAACTAGATTTTCAGTGACTAGGGAAGGTGTTGAAAGCAAAATGCTTTGAAATACTACGCTTGTGGGCGTGCAGCACTTTTAAATCTGGCCTCAGAAGTCTGATTTTCAACAGAGCTGTGTCTACAATTTTGACTTCTGATAGGATTGTGAATGCTGAGCACTTTTGAAAACCAGTCCCTTAAATGCCTTCTGCCTCAGCTCCTGCGGCCGTGTAAGAAGGAAACAGCTGGCCACCTCAGGCCAGTGCTTTGAGATCTTCATTAGGTATATTTGCTTACAAAGCACCGTCCTACAGATACTTGCAATGAAGCTTTTCTACCTGCTCATCAGGAATGGACAGACAAGAGAAGCAGGCAGGGAGCATGCAGCAGCTGGGGTCAGACCACGACTTCGAAGCCATCAGCTTTGGCCATCAAGGGGAAACCTGTTCAGAGGATCAGTAAAGTGCCTTAAAGCTGACTGTCCAAATAAAGTCTTTGTGGCATTGTTTGCTGTGATTGTTTTGGATGGGTGAGGAGAAGGGTGGGATAGGTGCTGTAAAGGCCAGACCCAGAGCAAATTGGTATTTATGCTTCCTGAAAACTTCTAAAGAAATGCACTCCCCACCTTGATTCCAATTGCAGATACGGCAAGAGACATGTGGATCGCAGCTGCCTTGTTCCACCTGCTCCTGGTGCACCTGAGCTGCCCTCACCTAGTGCACTGGACCTACAAAGGTAATGAAAAATTAGGCTGTTTCAGGGCTGCTACTGGCTGCTTTGCTAAAGATGCTCCCACCCTTTTTGTGCTGCAGAAGCAACACTCAGCTTGACTCTCCGGTAGTGAAAGATCTCTGCAGAGCAGCTAATTTATTCCATAATTTATTCCACTTTGTCTTGAAAGTGATTCTCTTCAATGCCACCCCTTTTTACTCCTTTGTGTGGTTAGGACACGTCGTTGGAGTTGGCAGACCAATGAGGTTCAAACAATGTGGAAAATCTTTACAATGTGTTAGAATAAAAGCTGGCCTTTGGATGATCCTGGAAGGAAAAAGCTTTAAATACTGCCTGCTCATTATTTTATTGTCACATCCCATGACGTACAGATCACTAGGAAGTTTTTACTTATGTTTGTACGTATTTTGTGAAATTTTATCTGATTTTCATTTGTTTCATGGGGTTGCTTGCAGAGCACTTTGAAGTAGTTCTTTTATGATCTTCGCTGGGCTGAGAATCAAGCTAAAACAAAGGACATTGTTGAATAGATGCAATATTGCAATGAAGACACTAAACTGTTTGCAGAAGTTCTCTCTGGATTTTCGTTTGCCCAGGCTGTCTGCATCTCCTAAGCCCCCATATTTAATCAACGTCAGGAAAGAGAGACCTGCAAACTGACATTGCTTACATGAAATAAAAAGAAAAGATTTGGCAAATAGTAACATATCCCCAGGTGTGGCTGTAATTATAATAATTTGAAAATTAGGAAGGTGATGAAGCAGGTTTTAACTGTTTTCTTTTTAAAACAATCGCCTCTCCTTCCAAACCATCTCTGCAGGATTTGAAGTCAGTGAGTTCAACAGTCACATAATGATTATTCCTTCGCTCTATCTCTGTCTGACTCAGGCACACTTAACTCTGACACTGATCAATATATTGCAGTTCTGGGGTGAAGAAGAAAAGCTTTCCATACTGATTGTCGGTCATAGCCCTGACAGAGATAGAATAAAAATTTCTACTTATCCTTAAAGTCCTAAATATAGCACTATGGAGAGGGCAAATAGCCTTGAAGGGTTCAAGCATTTGTTAATAGTTCCAGCAGCACCCAGACCTCTGCAGGAAAGATTCAAATTAGGGCTAAGAGGCTTAGAGGATTGGAAAATGGATCGTGTCCAGCACGCCAGGTCCCTTGCACATTTGCTTCCTCCGTAGTTGACCACAGGAGGATTTTAGTTTTAAATGAGCATGTGCAGGTGAAGGTAGGGGCTTTAAGTTCCTAGTCCCATGTCAAATGTTTGTGTCTGAGCTAATGACACTGAGCAGGAAAGGAGCTGGTATTAACCCTTAGCATGACCTTTGGGGGCTGTTAGACCTGGGGGCTGAAGGGCCATCAAGAGCTCAGAGCAATCAACCAAATCCCGGATTGGGGCCCCCAGGTCCTATTCCACACCAGGAGCTGCCTCACAAAAGCAATGAATCACTTTGTCATTATTTGTTGTGAGTAAAAAGGGGGTGCCGGGAAGAGGCACAGCATTGTGCTCAGGGGAGGGGTGGGTTTTGTTAATAAAAAACACACCCAGGACATCAAAGCCTCCCCAGACCATTCCTGTCCCAGAAAACAGGCAAAACCATTAAAACCATTTAAACCATTTCACCCCTATTCTTCTTTTAGTAGCTCTCTCCCTGGGTTAAAAATAGCGAATTTGCTGCCAGTTCCTGATCCTAGGCAGAGACTTCCCACATAGTGCCCTGGTCCTGTTCACTCTCACATTGGTGGAGAACCTGATCCCACACCTTTGGCAGCTGAGACCTTTAAATCCCCATTTCTATATAAACACTGCTTCTCTGCCGGCGGAGGTTCAGTCTCCAGTGACCAGTAAGCTATTACTGCAATGCAGGTTTCTTATTTTGCAGCACAGCTGTCCTGCAGTCAGAATAATGTGTATTTTCACTCTAGGGAAGGCAGAGAAACCTTTTATTGCTGCAGCCCCTGGTGCTGTAATAACTAGATTGGCACCCTTGCTGGCAAACAAGGCGAGTTTTTTGACTCCTGAGCTAGCAGCAGTTCTCACCACATCCTAATAACTTGCTTTGCTTCTCCTCCACGCAGAAGGAGAGCTGGATGAAGAGCACTGGGGAAAGCACTTTGCAGACTGTGCCGGCAAGCACCAATCTCCAATTGACATCCAGAGGAAAAAAGTGAGGTACAACCCCCAGTTGCTGCCGCTGGAGCTGAGCGGTTACGACGAGCCTTCGCAGGGGGATTTCACCATGACCAACAACGGCCACTCTGGTAAGGCTGGAGGGATCACAGATGCCTTTAATGGTAGGTCTGTCCTGAAGACCCAGCTGTCTTATCCACACCCCTTTGTTAGCTCCTTCACCAAGGAGCTCGGGTTCTGTGCACTTAGAGGGTTGATGGAAGAGTGCTGAGATGAACACACATCATAGAATCATAGAATGGTTAGGGTTGGAAGGGACCTCAAAGATCATCTAGTTCTAACCTCCCTGCCATGGGCAGGGAAACCCTCCACTACACCAGGTTGCCCAAAGCCTCGTCCAACCTGGCCTTGAACACTTCCAGGGATGGGGCATCTACACTTCTCTGGGCAATCTGTTCCAATGCTCTTTTTTCTTTGGAACTCACCTTACTTTGCTTTGCCATCTCAATTCATTCTGGTCTCTTAGTTTTGCCATTTTCCCCAATCACACGGGAAATCTGTCCAGAAACTCATACATAAACCAACCAAATAAAAGGCAATTATGGTTCTGCAAGATATTTTTTCTGTTAGACATGAAAAAGGGATAAAAGGCAGCTAGAGCATTATAGATTGACCCTTTCTTTCAGTGAGCCACAAGACTACAGGACTATAGTAGTGAGTGGTATTTGGGACATACTGACTCCTCTCTGCATCCAGAAAATGCATCTTTTGCCCCTGTGCAGTAATAAGAACTAAAAGCAATAGAAATAGGGAACTGTAGTTGAGAAGCAAGTTTGCATCCCAGGTTCAGTTAGATGTAGGTCACACAAAGTACAACACAAAGGAGAATCCCCCCCTTACAGTTAGAGGACTGGTGTTTCAGGTTTGAGGAAGGGAAGCTGAAGCACAGCATGGGTTAAAACCCTTGCCTTTGGCCACACAGTCTCAGTGCAAGGCTCAATTTAGGAGGTCCTGGATTCCCCTGCTGCAGTCTATAATTCATTGTCTAAATAATTCATCAGCTGGTACTGTCGGGATAATGCTTTTGGACTACAGATGAGCAACAAGAGAATTTTCTAATAGCTGCAATGAGGAGAGAATGAGTGGTTTTGGGAAAGTGTTTGGAACAAAGCTGGTAGCTCTGTAATCCCACACAACAGTCCTTTCTTCCTCTCTGTATGGAGTGAGAGCAAGGAAATGAAGCGAGGAGAGACATACTGCCTTCAGAGAAAGACTGTTGTGATTGTATTTCTGAAAACATAATGAATAACTACTCCTGGTTGTGGCCCACACAAGCTCAACATGGAGTTCCAAGCTCTCATGTCAGCATTGCTGTCCTGACTGCCTACAAATGAAACCCTGCAGCTTTCCCTTGCAGATCTGACTGCACGTGTGTTTTCCTATTTTCTTTTGTTAACATTGAAACAATGATTTTCTCACACCAGGCGTTTTAGAAAAGCACAAAGGCAAAATAACTGTCCTTATTCACAGCTCCTCTAAAGTCAGGCTAGGTTTTCCTACTGGTTTTGGTGCAGTGGGACAGGGTAGCAATATATCTCAGGGAAAATATTTCACTGATTCACATTAGAAAATACTCAGCAGATCTGAAAGGGACAGGAAATGGATTTATCAGCAGGACTCTCCTTGCAGGCTCTCAGGAGCTAAAGACCAACTGGCTCACCTTAGAAACCAGCTACACTTTCTAGTTGCACAATTACCAGGCTAAATCCCACCTGATAAAGCCTATTTGCAGTAGTGCAGAGTGTCTGCACGAGGAATTTGCACCTGAATATCCTATTTTATCTGTGCAGACACACGCTCACACAGGCAACCTTAAGTTAATGAAGCCTTTTGTATTTGGCATTTGGACTTTTGGGGTTTTTTTCCCCTTTTTCCTCACATTTTTTGCCCCTTTTCTTTACCCCCCCTTTTTTGCCCCTTTTCCTCTCCCATCCCCCTTTTTTTACCCTTTGCCTTTTTTTTTCCTTTTTTTCCCTTTGCCTTTTTTCCTGTTCTTTGCCTTTTTTTTTCCCCCTGCCCCTTGCCTTTTTTTTTCCTGGCTTTTTTTTTTCCCTGCCCGTTTTTTTTTTTTTTTCCTTCCTTTTTTAGGCAGGATCAGTCCTCTAGTAGGCAGCGAGGACACGTACAGCTCTGCAAGATTAAAATGCCATCCATTCAGGGTGCGTGCAACTTCTTCCAGTAACAGATTTTTCTTAGAACTGGGACGTCAAGTGTGGCCTTCATTAACTCAACTGCCTCAGAGGCCAGAGATGGGAAAACAGGCAGCTGGGCTCAGACTCACACTGCACAATCCCAGCTGATTTCCCAACGCTGGGCCAAACTAGAGCTAATAGGAGTAAGGCACTTGCAGCCCAGAGCAGTCATACTTTCCACGGGTGAAAAGTAAAAGCAAACTGGGCTGTTACCTACCTTCGTGCTTTCAGCAAAGTATTTGCATAAAATTCCTTGCAGAAGGCTTAAGCTTCCCACAAACCCGGAGCACGATTCTCTGGCTGTGTTTTGCAGAAAATAGAAACCGTGGTGAAGTACTTGAAGTAAATAACCTTAATTATGGAAGGCAGTCAGTAGGGATTTTACATTAAAAATAAGGTAGATGGGTTTTTTCCCCACTCTAGACTCTTTGGGATATTACAAGGAAACATGTTTTCATCTTGTATGTCTGTAAATAGTTTACAAAAAAGGAAACTTCTTGCAAACCCAACTGTGACTCGTGAATCATATATCCTGTGCTACGTTTTGCAAGGATAGTTGCTATTTTTTATAATGCGCTCTGGGCTTTCATTAGGATGAGGCAATTCTGCATTTTCACTCCTAGGTTTGGCATATTTATTAACATAATATATGATTTGTGGCAGTACATGAGCAGGAAGACAAATGTTTCGTAGTCTCTTTGTGAATACTCCTTGGCAAGGAGAAGCAAAGAGATTTGTCTCTACAAATCCTTCAAGCGTTAACACAGCCTTTTCAGGCTTACAGGGCTCTGGCCCAGTGAGCCTGTTCCTAGAGGATGCAGAGTCCAGGATACTGGAAATTATGATGACGGGTTAGATGAGGCCAGTCACTTGGTTGATCTCTATCCTCCTTTTCTTCCTTTGAAATAAAGTAGTTAACAAATCTGAGCAGAGCCCTGCAAGATGTGACATACCACGCAAGAGACGAGCATTAAAGCACTTTTATTAGTGCCTGAGGGAAAACCCAGAGCTGCTCCGATGGGAAAAGAAGTCTGCAGACACAGCTAGTGCCTTCTCATCTCTGTGCCTGATGTGCTCTTTGTGGTGCACGAGCCTGAGGTCAGGAAGGACTTGAAGCACACCTAACTTTAAGCTTCAGTGGTTACCCTTGCATACTGGAGCCAGTTCCCTGGACGTGACTCTGCCAGCTTCTTTCAGAGACTGTTACTGGCAGAAAGCACTGGGAATGTAACTATAGAATGGGCATGGCTGCACCCATTGCTGTCTCCGATCCTGTTTTTCAGTTCAGATCGATTTGCCACCCACCATGCACATCTCCAGAGGGCTCCCAAGCCTCTACACAGCTGTACAGATGCATCTGCACTGGGGTGGCCTGGACCTGGAGACCAGCGGCTCGGAACACACCATAGATGGGATGAGATACTTCGCGGAGGTACTTGCGAAGGGAGCGAGCTGGAGGGAGGGCGCATTGCAAGTCTGGCAGTTGGGAAATGGGAAGCTGCAGCCCACAAAGCCTGCAGGAAGCAACGCAGAGGCAAGTGGGAGAGACAGGGCTCCCGTAAGCGCAGGTGGTTTGTGCAATGCAAGGGCTGAGCCTGATGGTGCTGGCACAGAAAACTAAGAAAAGCCATTGCAATAGCACTAATAGCCTTCAAAAATGCAGTTATTCCTCCACGTTCCTCACAGACCTATTACACTGAAGGTCTATTTGGCTGTGCGGTGAGGCACAAGCAACAGGAATGCGGACAGTGACTCTCCCTTCGGTCTCTCGGGTCCTTTAAAGCACCGAGGAAGCCATTTATAGCTGCTTGCTAAATGACCCTGTCTCTCTTCTGACAGCTGCACATTGTCCATTACAACTCAGCGGACTACCCAAGCTTTGAAGAAGCCAAAGACAAACCAAACGGATTGGCTGTGCTTGCCTTCCTGTACGCGGTAGGTTTGACGCCTGGGCTCCTGAGCAAGGCCAGTCTGTGATCACCATTTATACTATAATCACAGCCCAGACACACGCAGCCTGTACTAGGTTTGCACATCTATCCTGAGAGACATCCTGCCACCAGTTTGTGGGAGCTGTGCTGCTGCAGGACTGTTCTTCCTTTATGCCATCTAGGGTTCACACAATACCAGCCAATAAACTTAGGAGCCCCAGAAACATTTGCCCCATAAGAAGAACAGATGGATTATCAGGTGTGGCAGCTGGGTTTTTCCTGCTGTATCTCAAGGCCTTGCTCTGATTTGCAAATGGGAACACTTGGTTTTGTGTGGATTTAGAAGTGGTGAAAAAGGATCCTTATAGTTCACTGTTGTACCTGAGGTTTATGTGTACACACCTTATCATACCTAGCATTGTCCAACCAAGCAAGAGATCTGCAATAGTATTTGTTCTCTGTCTCCCAAGTCATCAATTATTCCCCCAAGCTCATTAGTAGTATAGAAGGGCAGGCAGGTCACTAACCTTTTGTTCATGTTTCTATGCTGTGTTTAGGACGGGCACTTTGAGAATACCTACTACAGTGAATTCATTTCCAAACTGGCAAAAATCAGGTTTGCAGGTAAGACCTGGGGATGCCTTTCTCCATCCTTCATATTCTCAAAACCTGTATGTATGTACTCCACAAATACGCTCTGCTTCCTGGGAGCTACTGGCAGAGCACTGAGGTGCAGTTGCCCACCACCTCCAGGACCCCCAGGTATCTCTGAATGACAAACCATTGACTGACTGAAAGGACCATCCATTTCCCTCCATCTTCATCCAGTTCTGCCAAAGGTCTAACATACCAGTGCTTTGGGCAAGGTGATTTGCCAACCCCAGCTCTAACATCACTCTCACCTTTCTCTGTCCCCCATTAACTGTTAATATTGCCTCTCTGTTTCCTTTTGAGGTCAATCAACAAAGCTCACTTCTCTCGATGTCCAAGCCATGCTGCCAGACAACCTCTCACACTTCTACAGGTACCAGGGCTCACTAACAACCCCACCTTGCTCCGAGAGCGTGATCTGGACCATCTTTCATGTTCCGATTGTCCTGTCACACACACAGGTAAGTGACAGCTGTTTACCAAACAGCTTCTATTTCCTTCATGCTTCACCTTTCCACACGAGTTTCCTTTTCTGTCCTCTAGTGATTTTGGGAACAGCCTGACAGAGGAGCAAACAGGGCATTGCTCATATAGGGCTTTTGGGATAGACTCCTAAGTGACTGGAATTACAGGCGGCTGTGATGACACAGTGATGCTACATCACAGCAAGGGTCAGTTTCTGTGCAGCAGCAGTTCACCCAAGGTCTGGTGAGCGATAACAAAGTGCTCCGCTCGTTTAAGCTCAACCACACTGAAGCACTATCAAAAGGAAGCTACCAGTCAGAATCAACCAGGCAAAGACTACTGCAAGATTCTCAAAAAAAAAAAACCAACCCCAAAAAGCATAAAAGAGCCATTCGTAACATTAAAATCATCACAGAATAATTGGCACATTTTCAGAAGAGTATTTCAGGTTTTTTTCTATCTACACTCACACTGTGCAGCCAGATTGGGTCATTTCAGGAGTGGCCTGCTGTGAACTTTGGCTGTGAGACAGGAGAGGGTTCATCCAGGCTCCGGTGGAGGCACAACCGAGGACGTTGCTGGGTGCACAGGAGCACAGGGCAGTAACCCCACCTGGGCCAGCAGCTGATTACCAGCACACGGCAGGACCCCCTTCTCTTCTCTCCGTCTGCCTTGACAGGACAAAGGCTTTAGCAGAGAAAAAAGTAACACACGTAAAATCGGCTTACCACTGAGTCTTGCAGAGTGGTTCATCTTCCTTAATGAAAAAGCAGCATCAGAAACATTTTCTTCTAGGAAAAGAACAAGATAAAGTGGAGACTATGGTAGTGGAGGATCACAGCGTGTTCTCATCCAAAAAAAGGAAATATTCTTTTTGGCAGGGGGAAGGCTAGTAGGCACTTGTGAGAAAGCCATACCCTACAGGATAGCAGCAAAATCTCCATCCATGCGTACCATCAGGCAGGTGTTAAAACCTTCCTTCAGGGAAAATATCTTTGTCATGAATTAGCTGTTAAGAGCCTTCATGTTCTGTTCTTTTCCCTTGCTAATACTCAGCTAGAGACCCCGTGGGTCATAACAAACTGCTAGGTTCAATCCTGAGCTGCAGGATCTACACTGCACTTCTAGGCAAAACCGTTGTTCCCGTTGCCCTCCGTAATAAGCCTGCACTGCCACAGATCAGCCTCCTGGAGAACACCTTGCTGGACTGGCACAACAGGACACTACGCAACGACTACCGGCACGCTCAGCTCCTCAACGGGCGGGTGGTGGAGTCCTCCTTCAGAGCCAAACTCACCCAAGGTAAAGGGAGTCAGCACACAGGACTCAGAATTTCCCCAGGGAGGGGCAAGAAACCCGTGTGTAGGGAGATAAGTTGCAAACCACTAAGCTAGGCATGCTGGAGATCTTTCCCAGGAGTAGCAGAGTCCCTGCACAGCAGGTGGAGATGCCCCTGCCAACCCATCGTGCTTCTGATGGTGCAGTGGTGCGGTAGGCTGTGTGCCAGCCCTTTGTTTTGACTGCAGTGGTGTCACACGGATCTCCCAACATAAGTGGAGCTCCATGGCACCACACAAGAATACTAGGTCCAGGTGCACCCGTATGGGTGGGGTACACTAACCACTAAGCACTGCCATGGCTGTTTCTAGCCAGGCACATACGGAGGTGAGATGCTGGATTTTAAAACAAAGGTTTTCTTCAAACCTTCTATGAACTAGAAGGCAGAAAATCTACCACGTGCAGGTCCTGGCCTTCTGTAAATTCAGCTGTCTGATTGCTCTAGAACAATGCCATCCAGAAGAATTCAACCTCCGACTGGAACAAATCCAGATGCAGCTCCAAGACATGAAGAAAGACTTGCTGAATGGAGTGAGCCATGTAGGTAAGAAACACACGTCTGTCTATCCTTGAGTCCAGCTTATCTTCCAAGGATGAAGAGCCCATACCCTGCTGTCCTCAATGGCCTAAATCATTAACAGGTTTGCTACTGATACGGGGCAAAATTCTACCTGCACATCTTTAGGCCTGCTGATGGAAATTCAGCTACAGCATCATTAAGGCTAGCCCTGATCTAGCTACTCTGACAGCAACTGCAGCTTTCTCCTGCAACATGTAAGCACATGTTTTACAATCAGTGAGGAATTTAAGCTCACAGTTTCCCTAGGGTAAATCATCATCTCTGTTTTACACAAGATGAGAACAGAGGAAGGGGGCGGCGGGGGGAATAAGAGAGATTTTCCCAAACAGTTGGGTGAGGGAGCTAAGCTTTTTGTCATTTCAGGTCCCTTCCCTGTTGGTACAACACACGCCAGTAACTGCGGCTCAAGACAGCTGAGACTGTCACAGCCTTGCCAGTTCCTGTGGGTGTATTCTTCAGGCTTTAGGCTTATTTATAGGCACAGCAGGAAACACAACAGCTGACTTTTTGGTTATTTCAGGTATTAAATCCAGCACTTTTCCAGCTTTCTACTTCCCAGTGGAAAACATTGAGAGTTTTGTGACCGTTCAGCCCCTCCGTGACATGTCTCTCCAAGCCTTCACGTTGTGTTTCTGGGCAAAAGCTCAACATGCTGGCAGTCAGACTGTTCTTTCCTACTCCACACAGGAGAGGGATAACGAGCTAGTGGTGACTGTGGGCACAGATGTGGGATTGTGGATAGGAGGCCATTCCATCAGCTTCCCCCTGTACTACAAGGCACAAGATTGGTTGCACTACTGCATGGCATGGGCTTCCCACTCTGGAATGGCGAATTTATGGCTCAATGGAGCAGCTGGTAAAGCAGAGAGTATCCAGAAGGGGTACGTGAGCCAGGCTGGAGGGACACTTGTCCTTGGGAAAGATAGAGACACTCTTCTTGGGACATTCTCCAATGGTTTTGCAGGGTGGATGACTCATGTGAACCTGTGGAGCCAAGTTCTCAGTCCTGCAGATGTTCGGGCACTTGCACTGTGCAAACCAGGGCAACTGAAGGGAGATGTTGTAGCATGGGGAGAAACCTCCATGACCCTCCTGGGAGGGGTGGTTCTGGAGTCTGACACCAGCTGTCAGTGATGCCAACTTTTTTTTTTTCCCCTCCCCCAAAGCAGCAGAAGACTCCAAACTGCTTGCTGAGGAAGCTAAGAGAAAACTTAGATTGCTTGTTTCTCCTTTTGCTATGTATAGGCTTCACTATGCACCTGCTAGCGTTCCAGGTCATCTTCCAAGAAAGCAAAGCCTCCATCAGTGGGATAGAGGCAAAGAACAGAGCAGAATTCAGCACAGTCCAGCACCTTGCATTGTCACATCTCTCCCAGGAGTCTGATTTATGTCCCCATACGTAGATCTTCCTGCATGCCAAAGAGACTCTCTCTTTGGTCAAAGGAGCCACTTTCTCAAGTAAAATTTCTCTCACATCCTTCATCCTCAGTTCCTCACCATCTTCCCCGTGTGCGTCCCTCCCTTCCATTCCTCACCATCAAATCACCACCCCTTCCCCTGCAGATGTATCACATAGGAAAGGGTACGTAAAGCCCCTGCAGGGCAGAGTGTGGTCCTATGCCTTTTCTGTAAATGGACATAGAGCATGAGCGTGGAAACAGCTGCTTTTTCAACATGTATACATCACAAGTTTGAGGGCAGGTATAAAACTCACCTTCTAAGGTTAAAGTAAATCATGTGAAGGGCTATCTCCAACAACACAAAATCCATGCCAGGCTGCTCAACAATTCTGCCTTTTTCAAAACAGAGGGCAGCAGCCCCACATAATAATTCATTAAATTGAATTTCCCCATGTTAAATTAAGCTGTAATTAACACCCAAACCCCTTAAACTAATAAATACTTTAAGAAATCCTCCATTTTTATCAGTATGCACTTTACTTTCTTCTGAGAGTCAGCACTAGTCCTTCAGACTCGGAGTTTTTCCAACCAATTTGGTCTTCAGGTGCAATGGTGCCCTTAGGAGACACAAGCAGAAACCAGTAGAAGGACGAAGCTCCAAACCATTTGAAGAGTTCACCAAGTGGTTGCAAGTACCTGAGAGCTGAGTTATTTCAAAAACTAAATTTACGCAACTCAATGTGAGAAGCTAAAAACAAGTTTGGACAACGTGCTTGCAAACACAGGCTCCAACCTGTACCCAACTGCACAGGAATCAACCTGAATTGGGCTCCTGCAACAGAGCAGGGAGGTTCTTAGTGAGTTCAATACCATGTATCTCTGGGGCACCAATGAGCTCCAACTGGCTCATGTGTGCAAAGTAGGGATATTGGGGTTATTAAAGGATTAAGAGAGGGACTGTTGGTCTTTGGCAACTGAAGTGTAAACATTAGGAAGTGAAATGAGCTAAATAGCTCAAAGACTAGAGTGCTACTGGAACAAATGAGTATAAATCGGCTGTGAATAAGCATCAGACAGATGGATGACTCCTAACCTCAAGAATAAGGCTTTGCAAGGGCTCATCAGCAACAGTTGAGGACTAGGTTTGGTTTGAAGGAGAGTTGGGTGAGCAGGTGGGAGTGAGATTACAGCGATAATGCATTTCCAGTTTAGCAGTCCTTTGAAGCACACAAAGGAAGGACAAGAGTTGACAGGATAAATGCCATTATCAGCCCATCTAACAAAGTACCTCAGAAAAACTGACACTATCTCCACCCCAGAGCACCAAAGATCTGGCATGACCCACACTGGACCCTCAAATACACGAATTACAGTTCCTCAGAGGAATATATTACACTCCTTGCACACAACTGACCAAAACCCAGCCCAAGTCACCCAGCTTATGTCACCCGAGACACATCAGTCAGGACATCAGGGACAGACATTACCTTATGACATAGCTTACCTGGTGACAGGAACTGAGCTGGCTGAGGACGTTGGTCTTTCCTTGAGACAAATACCATGAATAGGCAACGTGGCATATGGTATATGCCAACTTGGCAGTGGCTATACGTATTGAGTTTGCATGGTAAGGTTTTGGTGCCAGGAGGGCTACAGGGGTGGCTTCTGCAAGAAGCTGCTAGAAGCTTTCCCTTATGTCTGACAGAGCCACTGCCAGCCAGCTCCAAGCCAGACCCACCACTGGCCAAGGCTAGCCCATCAGTGACAGTGGTAACACCTCTGAGATAACATAGTTAACAAGGGGGAAAAAAAACAACTGTGCAACTGCAGCCGGAGAGGGGAGTGAGAATATGCAAGAGGAACAACTCAGCAGACACCCAGGTCAGTAAAGGAGGGAGAGGAGGTGCTCCAGATGCTGGAGTAGAGATTCTCCTGCAGCCCGTGGTGAAGACCATGGTGAGGCAGACTGCCCTGCTGCAGCCATGGAGGTCCACGGTGGAGCAGAGGACCCCACGCCGGAGCAGGTGGATGCCCGAAGGAGGCTGTGACACCATGCTGGAGCAGGCTCCTGACGGGACACCTGTGGACCCATGGAGAGAGGAGCCCATGCTGGAGCAGGTTTTCTGGCAGGACTTGTGACCCCATGAATGACCCACGCTGGAGCAATCTGTTTGTGAAGGGCTGTACCCCATGGGAGGGACCCACATTGGAGCAGTTCATGAAGAACTGTAGCCTGTGGGAAGGACTCACATCAGAGGACTGTCTCCCATGGGAGGGACTCCACGCTGGAGCAGGGGAAGAGGGTGAGGAGGCCTGCCCCTGAGGAGGGAGGAGCAGCAGAAACAATGTGTGATAAACTGACTGCAACTCCCATTCCCTGTCTCCCTGCACTGCTGGGGAGGAAGAGGGAGAGAATTCGGGACAAAGTTAAGCCTGGGAAGAAGGGAGGGGTTGGGGGGAAGGTGTTTTACGATTTAGTTTTTATTTCTCATTATCCCACTCTGATTTTGATTCGTAATAAATTAAACTAATTTCCCCAAGTCGAGTCCATTTTGCCCGTGACTGTAATTAGTGAGTGATCCCCCCCACCCCGTCCCTGTCTCAACCCACCAGCCTTTTGTTACATTTCCTCTCCCCTGTCCAGCTGAGGAGGGGGAGTGATAGAGCAGCTTTGGTGGGCACCTGGTGTCCAGCCAGGGTCAACCCACCACCCTATGCCATGAGGCAGAATAGTCCTGCTGATTACTCACAATGAGAATACTCTCAAGACTCAACGGCTTATTTGAAAACTCCTGATGAGGGAAGTTTGCAGAAAGTCTGAATGAAGAGCAGTATCAAATGATGAATCGATGTATTTGTTCTCCCGCTGAACAGATCCTGAAAAATGTCTGGGCCAGGCCAAATGCTGGGCTGGGTCACAGCTCACTGCTAGAGACTTCTTTTTTCTCTTCCTGCCCGGCTGGGACAGTTTGGAAATCCTTAAGCTCTTCTTTGTCTTCCTGAATCTCCACCTTGTTCCTCTTGGCCATGATCCTGTTGATTTCCATGAAGGTTTTGTTCTTCGTCTCAGGAACAACAAAGAAGATGTAAATCATAGTGGCAAGGCAAACGCCACAGAAGAGGAGGAAGCAGTAGGACCCCAGTCCAGCCTAGGGCAACGAAAGAAGACAGAGCCGGGATCAGGGGAATACTCCAGCTGCGTACATTTCATGATTTGGATACGTTGAACCCTCCAATAGCTATAAAAAAAGCAGCAACAGTGATGTGCACATATTTTAAGCTGAACAACTAGAAGTTAGGGGTGGTTCTAGATTCTATCTTCTCATATCACCACCATGGATTTATTGGAAACCACCATGGATTTACTGGAAAAGGAGGGCAAGGATCTGTTACATAAATCAAACTAAACTCAACAGCTCCCTTTGCACAAGCTAAAACCAGCGCCTGTAGCAGTTCATGGGTCATTACAACTGGGGATCAGTTTGAACTGGTGACCTAGAGAACAAATGCTAACATTGGCTCCCTGAGACACACACCCCACCCCCATCCCTCCATGGAAAACAGGGAGTTGGCAATCTTTTCCATGCTCCTGAATTGAGGATCAGACATTCACCTGGAAAAATAACTTATTTTAAAGCATGTGCAACAGACAGGTGTGAAAAAAATGCTGTTTAACATCAGTTTCTTGCCCTTAATATATAATCCTGCATACAGGTACTGGGAACCAACTTGGGCTCTCAGGATTAAAAAGGCTCCCTAAGAACACAGAGGTGAAAATACTAGTTTTAAGCCGAAGTCTTGCCCTGTTGTGCGACTTCATCTTACCTCCAGGTAGAGGAACACAAGCCCTACGGTGAAGTTGCATAGCCAGTGCACAGACCCACCCACCATGAACGCTGCGGGCCGGGATGACTGCAGGAACATCTCGGTGATCATCACAAAGGGAATCGGACCTGGAAGGTAGTTGCATATTTGAAAATCCTGAAGGCATTTCCCCTACTCTGAATTCCTAGATTACTACGTTTGTTTCAGTGGTAGGCAGTGGTTCCTAAACTACTAGTGTTTAGAAACACTGAATAAACCAAATAAGGGATTAAATTAAAAAAAAAATAAAAGAACACAACACAGCAATCATCCTCTTCTCTCCTATGGCTGCACCTTAGCCATAAACTCATCTCCAGCATAAATTGTAAAATAATATTCATAAACACAAACTGTCTCTCCAGAGAGCATCCTATGAGCAGCAACTAAGCAAGTCATTGCTTCTTAAAAAAAGAACAACAAAGAAACAGCCCAACACATGCAGGTGTTGGAAAAGCAATTGATGGACCAAGCTCTCAGGCCCGCACCCTGCACTGCCGCCCTGCAGCACCGTCAGCGGGAACAGACCGTGTCCTCATTAACGGGGTCAGGCCACAGGTCCAGCTGACCTGGCGTTCCCCCTCCAGCCACCTCCCTGTCCCCGGCGCTTGAATGTGCCTGATGGCATAAATGGAAAAGCAAAGGTTGTGTGTAATTCTGTCTGCCAGTGAAAGCTCCACAGGAGTTTCAAAACCACATTGCTGCATGCAGCAAGGGTCTTGCAGGGCTTTCCAAACTAAACAGAGTGCTCTACCGCACGGAGAAGCTGAGTCAGGACAAAGCCTTTCCAACAGCCACGTTCATCTGCACATCTCCCTTCTGCACAGCGATCTGCAGGGCCAAGCGTAAGTAATTTCAGTTGCTTCCAATGAGATTTGCTGCCTACAGATGCAAGCATGCAACATCTCTGCCCAGCTGGTGGGGCTCACTATCTCAGCCTAGTTTTGCTCCAGATCTTACTGGGGGAATCTCAGGCACAAGCACAATCGTGCCTTTGCTTTTCCTCTTGAAAGCCAGATGCTCTCCTGCCTCACGGACACAGCCAGCCAAGAACTGGGATATAAATAAGCCTAGCTGACAATCAACAAGGTGTATAGCCACGCAGAGAGGAAATTTGATCTCCTTGGATTAGCTCCACAAAGCCTTTGATTTGAAAGTGAACATAACACTCGGCTTTACCCAACTTGTGGAGGAGACTGGGCTAGACTGTGCATACTTACTGGCTCCAATAGCATGTCCGATGATGTAAAGAATGACACACACAATGCTGAGGTAAGACATCCATGAAACAGTGCTCTGTGAAGAATTCAATCACAGGTTAGATGTGGTTCCTATCTGAACATCACCAACACATTCAAGGCACTATTTCCAGCAAGATCTGTAGGCATTCTAAAGCCAGTGTCACCCTCCATTGCCAGATATTGTCCATACTTAGCCACGAAAATCATTGCTTGGGTGTGATCCTTGCTTCCAACACATGGATGCAACAGGTATTATGAACATGACATACTGGAAGTTGTATTCAGACAAGTAAGATTACAGCTTTTCCTGGGCTTACTTTAGGTAGATATACAAGTACAGAGACTTTCCATACTGTCCTCTACCCCTCAGGGTGTAGAAGCAACTTCAAAATATACCAGTGACCCGTTCCCTGGAAGGTCCAGACACACAGGAGTAGGATCACCTGAGCCATTTAACTACACACCTGGAGATTGAGGGCCAAAGTTAACACTGCACAGGAGACACAGCACAATCCAAAGCCAGCGAGGAGAAGGATCCTTCTCCCCAGGGATTCCACAATGAAAACCTGAAAGAGACAGAAGAGGGTGAGAAACCGAAACCAGACACCTGGGGCACAGCACTTCTTATCCCAAAATTTATTAAGGTAGGCTTTGTCTTTTAAGAAATTCAGTGACATTTACACCATCTACTGATGGATTGTGGGCATGAAGTCACCCAGGAACCGCAAAAAGTTGGATATGTCAATAACACAGAGAACAGGCAGGCCATTCTTCAGCACCCAGTCCCAGTGAGAACTGCGCAGAAGCCCTGCATGGTAACACTGGACAGCAAAAAAGGGCATATCAGCCTGGAGACCAGAGACTGGAAACTTCTGAGGCATATGAGAAATCGTCATGATTAATCACTTTGATTAACGTAGCTGCCTTCAACCAAGTGCAGGGCATGGATTGTGCAAAGCAGTTCAGAGTACGCGTAAATAACATAACCGAATTCCAACAGCGATGGATAGGGGAGACTGGACAAGCTATAACTCAAAAAGCCCTAGCAGAAACTTACAGCTAGCAAAGTCATGACGACATTGACGGCGCCTATGGACACAGTGACATACTGAACGTTGTTGCTGTCCACACCTGCGAACTCGAAGATTCTGTCTGCGTAGTAGAAGACCTGCAGCAAAATCACAGCTGTGTTGACATGTGGCCGAATGCAGAACACAACTCATTTTGGCTGCTTTTACATCCTGGACCTGGTGCACAGAGCCTGAGGACTGAATTCTTTCATTTCTGGAGACATTGGTGTCTGGATCCAGGCATGAGCACCTTACTTTAAAAACGTCCAAACCATCCCTAACAGGATAGCTTGACTGTGCATTTAGCATGTGTGTACTGGATTTGGTCCTGGCCAGGGTCAACCCACCACAACGTGACGCAGACCAGTGTCCCTGAGGAAGGCATACTCCTGTGTCCCAGGTTCTAGCTCCTGTGTCAGCACTGCCCCACATCACCCCCTCTGAAGTCCCATCCCTTTATCACCGGCCTTTCCCACATGCCCTCCCAACTCACCGCATTAATCCCAGAGAGCTGCTGGCCCATCATCATGACAATGATAGAGATGAGCTGCCACCGCAAGCCTCTGAAGGTGAACAGGCTGAGTACAGAGAATTGACCCTCTTCCTTCTCTGATCGATCTTCTTGGCGCATTTCTGCTATCTCATCATCCACATCATCCCAGCCTCTCAGCTTCTTCAGAGCTAGTTGGGAGAGGAAGGTAAGTTATGGATCCCAGAAAGCAGGTCTACAGGGAGCTCTCCCGATTCAAATCAAGACAGAACACCACATCAGCCTTGGGAGCAGCGCTTCCACGGTGGGAAGTCAAGGATTCACACATGCAGAGAAAGGAGCAATTCCATCCACCAGCAACATGTCAATGGAGAATTTCACACTCACTTGCTTCACTGGTGATTGCTGTCAGTCATGGCCCACAGTCAGATCTATCCCATTCCACCTCCCCTTTCATTAAACAATGATGCTGTACCTTTCCGAGCTTGCTCTTCATTGCCCTTTTGTATCAGCAGATATCTGGGACTCTCAGGGAAAAAGGGCAATATAAGGAGCTGAATTAGCGATGGGATCCCAGTGAGCCCCAGCAGCACAGGCCAGCCTGTAACAAGTGAGACAAGACGACAACTGTGAGAAATCTTTCCTCAATGGAGCCCACAGAAAAGTCCCAAGCCAGGGCTTTACCTTTAGCATTCCCAAGGATGCTGTTGAGACCAAGGATCTGAGCTATAAGGATCCCAACAGTGATGAAGAACTGGGGTACTACCCCAGTAGCACCTCTCAGATTTTTGGGGGATATTTCTCCAAGGAACATGGGAACCACATTGGAAGCCAGACCTAGTAATTAGAAAACAATGTTAGACACGCAGCAGTCTGACATCAGCACACTCACCATCTTCAGTAAGATGCCTTTTTCATATGTGAGGCCAAAATGACCCTGCTGGACTACAGGACATATGGAAACCTCACACTCAAGTCCTTCTGCTCCAGTTAAAGATTTAATGTCATCTTCTGGCCAGTGAATAAGCTGTGTATATTTTCCTCACTTCAGTGAAATATGGGATGAAAAACACATGGCATTGGTTCACTCAGTAGGTGGAGAGGTACAAAATCCATCACTGCACCTAGTGCCCTCAGAAAGGCCCAGGAATCTAGCTTTCTCCAGAAGCCATTAGAAAAAGGACTTTGTCCCACTACATATCTATTCGTAAGAAATGCTGTCCCTTCGCCAAAGCTGTCAATATTACACTCATGTCTTAAGACTGAAATTGTCTCTGTGACTAAGCTGCAGAGGCATTCCCATGATGGAGCTAACTCAAAGAGCCTGGAGGTTTCACCCATTTCAACTGAAACACAGCAAGGAAACAACCATATCTGCATGATGGGCCTTCGGAACAAACTGCCCACCTTCTGGTGCTTTGAGGGTCTAGCTTATTAACTGCTCAGCAGCACAGAATTTTAGGAGCCCAAGAAGGCTAGCAGTAGCCTGTCATGCCTACAGAGCTGGCAGATGATCTGGGGCTCTCAGTGTTCATCTTCCTAAAAGCAGCTTTCTCCCAGGAGGGTCTGTCAAGTACTTCAACAAAATAGAAAAGAAGAAAAAGAAGAATTGCAAAGAAAAATTGTGTTCTACTTTGGGTTTGGAAACAAACTCAAAGTGTAAGGGAGTAATTTTTATCTCCTCTAAAACAAGAAAAGAAATCAGTGTCCAGACTAGCTGATGTGACTTCTTGCTGACTTTTACAAATTCACTTCTCCTTTAATTGCTTGGCAGCATTTAACGGAGAGCTTTGCTGGTTTGAGGTCTCTTATGGGTAGCATGCTGGAGTAGATATTTCTACTCGAATAGGACTCTAAGGACACAGGTTATTTTGAGGAACATTGCATGATTACCCACAGTAACCCGAGAGCTGCCAGCTCCTGTGCTTACGCTGTAAATCCTGGCATGCAAAACCCAAACTCCTGGAGTCAAATGACCACGAGACTCTTATCTTACATTTCTAAAGTCCCTAGCCTACAGGAGCTTGGAGTTACAAAGGTGATCAAGCTGTTGTCTGAAAGCTAAAAAGCACAGAAACAAGTATTAAAGAAACTAGAAAACATTATAAGACTAAACTCATGAGATGTAGCATTTTAAGTTTGTGCTGGCTTAAAACGTCCCTTAGTATTTCGTCAGAGAACCAGCAGCTGCCAGGCTTAGGAGAGTTAAAAGCCAAAACCAAACCATTAGGCTAGCCACGTTTCCTGCCCTAGCTCATCTACTGCGATTGCTGCATGCCACAGACCAAGCTGTTTGCCTATGTTAGTTTCTTGTTTTCTCATTTTATCTTCACAGGATATCCCATCTCGCTAATAAACCATGGAGCATGTCAGTCTTGCTAGCCCAAAGCCAAGTAACTGAGCCTAAACGTTCTTTAGACCCTTATCACCCTGGCTCTGCACACACTCAGCACAGCACTGCACGGGGTACCCCGCCGTTCCGGGTGTCTGTTGCTTCCGTATTACTGTAGCTCTAATACAGTCACTTCTACCAGCAACTCACATACACCCTTTTCCTTGGCTTCCCACTATCTTTGCAATAAATCCAGTGGCTCTGAACCCTTAGCACTCCCTTTTAATGTTTCTTTTCTCCTGCAGGAAGAACAGGCAGTTCCAGGACTGAATTACTGGAGATGGCCTTGTCTCCAATGACTTTGACTTAGAAGGATTATTCTGTTTCTGATTGTGTAAAAAAAAAAAAGAAGAAAAAATGAAAAAGACAAAAGGCCAGGCCATCTGCTTTAAGATACCTGGGAAAACAGATTATCATCAGCATGTTTCCTGGCTGTTAGAACTCCAGAGCCTAGCAGATGCTTATTGCAGAGGATAGTTGCACCTAGACACACATCTCTGTACATTTTAAATCCCGGTCTCGTTTACTAGAGATCTTTAGTACTTCTGCAACATGCAGATGACAACTGTTGTTCGAGCAAGTACAGCATTGTTATGCAGATGTATGGTTAAAACCGTGCTACCTGTGAAATCGTCTGTTGTGAGAACAAAAAACCTTTACATAGCTAAGAAAATACTTATTGGTCTCCCTTTACCATCCAACCTCTCACTTACCAGCGTATATTCCCATGATAACACGTGAAAAGATGATTACTTCAAAGGTTTTTGCTATCTCTGAGGTTCCCATAAGGAGTGCAGCAACAATGGAGAAGATGTTATTTATCAGCAAAGTGCCCTTTCTGGAGAGTAATAGAGAAGGAAACAGATTCAGTTTATTTTTTCTACGGCTCCAATAGCAGACAGATTCCTGCAGTGTTATACTGCCCAAAACTCAAATGAATCACCATCTCAAACTCTAATCAGAGAAAATTGTTATTTGTCCCCTTTTTCCTGCAGGGAATGAAAGCTTTAAGAAAAAAATGAAGTTTCTCAGGAAACCCAAGCAGCAAAAGCTGGGCCTGACCTCAGATTCCAGCCCAGGACTTTCATCATTGCTTTGTACCTGGCTCAGTACCCAGCAGATAGCCTGGCCTTGACCGTGACCATATTGAAACTATAGAAATTCTTCTACACATGGGAGATGACACGTATTTCTAAATCCAGCAACTCATCACCAGCCCATCTGCCTTACAATCAAGGTGTGTGTGACAGTGTCATTCTCCTGATGGGCTTGGTGAGCTGGAGTGACTGGTGAGGCAAGTCTTATCTGAACCCAGCAAACTGTTGGTGAAGGATGTTAAACGTACCGGCCACAATTGTTGACCAGAGGCCACACCATGAGGGACCCAAAGAAACCACCCAGAGGGTACATGGACACAGTAAGAGACCAGAGGAACGTCAGGAAGCTACTGTCCATAGGCACTCCATTTCTGTTGAAGTAGGTTTGGTTGTAAAAGTCTTGCATGTACTGGAATGAAACACAGAGCATGTTTAGCACACTAAGTAAGATTTTCATGCTGTAAAAGCTAGTTAACAACAAACGCCATAAAGCTTTAAATTAATGTCTTGATAAAAAGCAGAACAGCTGAGTTGGAAGATGAACGCTAGAGAGGGATGGAGAAGCCTGGAGTAGATAACTTACTGCAAGTCATCCTGCCTTATAGGATTTGCCTGGTTCTCAGAAGGGAAGGCATTCCTCATGCCCCATCTCAGCCGGGCACAAAGTCCGAACAGCAGTGTTATATGCCTTAACAGCCCCCCTTTCCTTTCCTGGGGAACCACTTCTCACCAGGTGCCTGGTGATTCAAAGCACAAAGTACAGGCATCTGCCCACAAACATCCATAATGTTACGTTCCTGCCCTGTTTTGCATGTAAATCTACTCTCAGGTCATGGTCCACTCCACAGTCCAACCTACCGGCGCTGGAGAATTGATCACAGACACGTTGTAGCCATACTGGAAAGAAGATCCAAACCCAGATATCAGTGCTACCATTGCAAGCAGAAGTGTCATCTTCTGCAGAGAGGAGAGAAAACAGACAAAAACACCTTAGAAGCAGGTTTGGCTTTAGGCATAAATAGCTTTCAGTAAAAATAAATACCCTAAGACTTGCCTTGTGTGTTTTTCACTTCATGTTACTGTATAAAGAAAGCTCAATGGGTTGTTTTCATTATAACTCATTTTGTTCTGCTTGATTTGCACATAGTCATTACGGTTTCTTTCCTGGCACTGATGGATCATTTGGATGATGAATAATTTTTAAGTTATCCTTCTTAAAATACCACCCCCCAGGGAAAACGGTTGTATGCAATTATTCTTTCTCCAACATGCAAATTGGTTAGTTAAATAACACAGGATATTGGCACAAGAAAGCTTTAAATAGGAGAGATTTTACGTGAAGTGGCAAAATCTCTTTCCTGTTCATTTGTTCTGTTTTTACATGCTGGCTCGTTCTGCCTCCCACATTTCAGGATCAAGCTGTTTATGGATCTAATCCGATTGCTATTGAAGCCAATTAGAACTTATCCAAGTAGCTCAGTGAGGGCTTGGTTGTGGGGTATAAGAGCAGCACTTTGCAGTTAAACAGAAGAGTGAAACTGCCATCTGGAGTGGGATCAAACACCAGCCCTGTTTGCAGGTACACAGTCCTCAGGGTTACAAGCAACTTGCTTTTCACCATTTAGTTGCTATTCAGCCCTCAGGCTGGCCCTACTGCATTGACTGAGCTGTTCTGGGTTTTTTTGGTTTATAGCTTACTAATATATCTCGTTGCTGCTACATTGATAAAATAATTTTTCACTGACATGTATCATTCTGTCACCACCAATAGCTTTAACGTCTGAAAGGTTTTATGTTCCAACACTCAACTCAGGTCTTACATGAAGGATGTGTCATTTCCCTAATCCAGCATTTGTCCAAATAGCTGCTAGTACTCCCTGTATTCCTTATATTCCTCAGCAGCTCTAGCAGCTCATCTACAGAGATCTGCAGAGTTTAAGGCACTGCAGGAGATAAAAATTCAAGCCAATTTCAGACTAAGGATTAGGAGGACGCTGAGGCTTCCAGACACATTTTCGAGGAGTAGACTGTTGACGTTCTCTCGTTGGTGATGAAAAGCAGGCAAAAGCAGGCTGCCTTGCTCTTATTAAACAAATCAGAGAAGCTGAAGAGAGCCACTGGTGTTAATTATTCACATTCAGCACTTTTAGAAAACCACTGGCATACATGAGCATTGCATTGTGCAAGATTCCACAAAAATGCTGCTGGGAAAGGCAGCCCCCATCCAGAAGCATCTGCAGCCTAAAAGCGGTCTGAAAGTAGCAAAGAAAACTCACACACAGAAGGAGAAATCACACAGAAGTTACACGGCGGGTCAGCTGCAGACAGAGAGAAAGTCAGGAGTCAGGAGACTCAGTGCAACGCTACGCTGCATATAGACATAAATTGAGTTCAGGAACACATGTATCTCTGCTCTCCCTACGAGAGAAGTCGTGGATATGTTAGCCCAAAAGATCTTGGTCATCTCCTTCCTCTAAAAGGACCTGCAAATCTCAGAGTTTGCTTTGTATCTCCACGGGAGACTGAAGTTGGAAGTACAGAGTCCGATATACTTACCCCCTTTGGACTTTCATTGTTGTTGGGGCTCTCCTCCTTCTTTCCTTTCAACTTCATTTTGGTGTTTGAATCACGGACGCCAAGTACAGGCTTTTATAGCCGAAAGAGTCCACGCAGGGGATGGCAACGCCCTACGCAGGAAAAAGTCCCCTGCTGCGACTTTTCAGAAAAGATCCAATCAACGACAAGCTCTATCAGCCGAAGTTGTTTTCCAAATCGTTCCCTTCTCTACGTGACTCCCTCGTGTCTGCTCTTTCTTTTCCTTGTTCAAGTCTCTCACTGCTGGATCAGATTTCTTTTGCCAGATCCTGACTCAAAACAGAGGCGCTGCCTAGCTACAGGGGAAACAGGCTCATCTGTCCAATTAGAAGGGGCAGACTTATCGGAAAAGCTGCTAAATGAGCTGTTTTCCCCCAGCTGTATATGCACAGACCATGTGAGTCTGTAGCCGCTCCTTCACGTTGCAGCTCACGGGCAGCTGTGGATGGCTGCCTGGCAACTGCCGCATTCTATGGAAATCGGGGCATTCTGTGGAAGCTGCCTTGGCAACGGAGAGAGGTTTTGCCACGGGCCACCGCGATAAAACTGAACGGCATTAACCCTCCTGCAGCCGCACATCGCGTATCTGCCCCTGGGCTGCAGCACTGCTCGCTGTCCTACCTTGCACCCACCAACTTGCTCAGGGCACTTTGGCAGTTCGCAGGGAAGAGGTTCAGCCTCCCAGATTTGTATTTTTGACAGGGCACAAAACACACTGGTTTTCCACCAAAGCACGTGGGTTCCTTTTCCTCTACGTGCAAGGTATTCCACGTGTTGCTAGCTTAGTATTAACCTCCTACACTATGAGACTACTTTGAACAGTACAGGACTTGGTTAATAGTCAACTACAATTTCTAGAGTTTATCAGAGAAATGCAAAGTTCAGATACCTCCAGCAGCCAGAGAAACTGGAATCAAACTTTCTTGTTATCAATCCCTCTGTCTTTAACAGCCAGCTTGAAAAATTGCATCCTTTTTAGCAACAGCAGCTGTTCACGTGTTTCATGCATTCTTAGAATGGCTGCAGTCTCACTCCAGATGAAAGCATCTTACTCTAAAAATAGGAAGGGGAACAGATCCCTGTTGCTTTCAGAGTAGTGCAACTTACTCTCTAGACTTCTTGTTGTTTGACTTTTATTGCATTTGTTCTAAGTTAACATCCTCCAGGACTCTGTTTGCTAGGATACCTTGACAGTGGATCACACCTCAAGAACACTCCTGTGTCTTTCAGGAACAACTCCTGCTTCATAGTCCCACCTGTCACATAGGGTCTTAAGTGAACAGAGGTGCAAACCAAAACATTCATTTCACCCGTAACTCATCTTCCTCTACCTTTCTCTGCATTCCCATTGAGAGAATGCAGGTAGCTGGCACTAACAGACACTCTGAGCTAGCTCAGGTTTTCCCATTCTGCCTTCAAACACTGCTCAAAGCACCTTGAAACAAATACAAATGGGACAGGTGACAGCTCACTCAGCAACTAGTTACTTTCACAGATCTTCATCCAGAAGAGGGAAAATAGAGAGTGAGCTATTCTGCCCAGGTGTGGGGAAGTTGCAAGGAGGAAAAACTTCTTTCATGAAATTCCTTTTCTTTAAAGACAGTACCATTCTTCTGGGAGCTCATGGCAGAAAGACAGCCACTCTGATACTCTAAGAACCGGGAATTCTCTATCATGGTCCTTAAACTCCTTCTCTAAACTTGAAGAAATAATCTTGGCACCTACTGAAATCAAACAGGACGCGTATGTTTATTATCAGAAATCCTTTATCAGCATAAAAGTTTGCTTATGGCAGCAGAATGGTTTGAATATTTGTCAATCACAGCAAGAATCTGGTAACAACATCCATAAGGTAGTACTTGGCACTGGAATGATCTTGGAAGAGATCGACGAATGGAGACAGGATGGTGAATGAACTTCTCCTTGGACTTTCAAAGCAATTGCAGGGGTATAACTGTCAACAGTTGCGATCATGTTGGACTTGGGCAAAGAACAAAGGCAGTAACAACAGAGCCAATTTTACAGGCATTTTACAAGCACGTTTTCAATTTCAGCTACAGCACATATAAAGCTTCTTACATCTGTTCTTCTCCCAGAGTGCACTTGCCTGAAGACATTAACTCATCTCTCTTTTCTCGTCTGCACTTGTCCACCGCATGATAAGAGCTCCCATGCACGTGTGCAGGGATCTATTTACATTTAGTCCAATTGTCTGTGCTTAAAGCTGGATCCTATGAAATCCTGATATCTTTTGCAAAAATCATTAAGAGGGGAAGCTTAGTTTCCAGGAGAATAAATCTGTTGGAGAACATTAGCAGTCAGCTATAGAAAAGTGATGGCTGGATTACGAGCTGGCAGTCAGCCATGCTGCAGTGTGTTGATCACAATGCTTGCGGGTAAGGAGACTTATCAGCAGACATCCCACAGTGTATGTCCAAAAGAGTGACATTAGAAGCCTTTCCATCTGCATTTTGGGAAGGAATTGCATGTTCAGTCAAGGGTAATCCAGTATTATATGCAATATACTGAGCTACAATCGGGGCCTCAAGGTGAAACCATAGTTTAAGTAACAAACTATTTGCCTGCAAATAAGTCATCACAGATACTGCTTTCTTAGCTGCATAAATGGCTTCCAGCCAATTAAGTAAGAGGTAGATGCAGCAGTCTGAACCCCTAGCAATAGGAAAGGGGATTGCTGGATAAATAAGCACACTCTGCAGGCAAACAGTAGCAGACATGAAGCTCTGGAACCGAGAAGTAAATGAGACCCTATTTTCATCACACAAAGGCAATGCTAGGTAGCATCCTGTCAACCACTTTCCTTTTCCATTGCTGCCTTTGGAGACCATCTTAGAAGAGCCTCAGCTACACAGATGCATCCTCAAAATAAAAACAAAAGGAGCAGACAGATCTGTAAACCTACCATGTAACCATCTGTTAAGCTGGTCAGGGAACTATCTGGTCAGGGAACTATCTGGTCCTTTCTCTATTGGCAGGGCTGTGTGACCCAGAAGATGTTTCAGAAAGTGTTGGAATATGTGGACGTTAAATCTCCATCTGCACTTTGTTCAGCAGAAGCACCTGACAGTCAAAATACCCACACTGTCCTCTCAGACCTTAGTTGGCTCATTTTTCTATCTGGGACAGAAATACCAACTGTGCCAGCCAAGACCTGCCTTTTGCCAGCTCATGCCACTCTGCACCGATTTCTGTGGTTCCCCACAGGGTTGCACAGACTACAAGATTCGTGGAATTCAGTGCAGCACAGACTTTTACACTGCTTCTGAGTAGAAGTGACTTGTATTACGCAACCATAAGTCTTGCAAGCATTAAGTTTGGCAGCGTTAGAGTACTCCAGTGTCATCTCTGCAACTCTTCTTCATGATGAGAAGAGAATACAGTAGCAGCACAACCAGAAATTACTTCTCTAAGGCGCTCCTCTGCTTTAACAACAAGATTTATCCTTTTCTTGTAAACAGATGATTCGTTAAACACAACTTCTACATCTTAAGGTAAAATCAACATCATCCAAATCCTCCTGTACTACAGAGCTTTGGTTAACTCCTAGAGCCAGAGATCATCTGGCACAATTAGACTCAAGTCTTCAGAAGAAGACAAAAACGGAAAAAAGGAGAATAGGATTTTGCAATGACCAAATCAGTATAAACAGTACTGATAAGCAGTATAACAGCAGTGATAGTATAAGTGACAGGCGAGCTCACCAAGTTCTAACCTACTCCTGCCTGGGGAAAGAGCACGGACAAGCTTCCTCCAGCTGTTACAGCCCTTTGCTCTTTATTCTCATCAATCCAGAGCTGCATCTCACTCCTGCCTCCTTCACACAGCCCACTCTCCTCCACTCAATATTTTCATTGCAGGCTTGTACTTCTTTATTCAGTCAGTCTTAAAACTTCCAACTCCATTTCCAACCACCACAAGTCCTTCTCATCTTTCCAGCCCAGTTTCCTTCCAGCTCTTGCTATTTAACAAGCTCTGCTCTTTGCAGATGTAGATTTTCTTATTTCCCCTCCTCAGGCTCCACTCCCATAGTCCATAATAGGCAGCCAGCACCCTCCCCACACATACAGCTCTTTCTATCTTTATACACTTGAAACCTCTATGAACCTCAAATACTCCCAAGAATTACTGGAAACCAGCACACAGCTCAGCTCCCTGCCCTTCGTTCTGACATCAACCCTTAGTCCATGTGTTGAAGCTCCTACACTCAGTGTGGTCTAAGTAGCAAAGACATGCTCAGGGATGGCAATATTTAGGATAGAGAAACCGAAGAGCAACTCTCCAGGAGAAAGTAACATTTTTCTCCAAGGCTTGCCATGCAGTCAGAAGACAGAGTGTTGACACAAAGCACGTGTCACAAGCCCCCCCCGACAGAGCAGCCAAAATACTGCAAGGAGCCTTCAATCGCTTCTAACACTGCAGAACAAAGCAAGCTTCCCTCTGCTTGCTGTCTTCAGCATCTGGACTCCTTTCCTCGCCTACCCAGATCAACCAGTCAAATTTGAGGCACGTTCATAAACCACAGAAAAGCAGCTATTCCAGATGGGAAGCATTGTGCAACCCTAGCAATAGACACTGTTGCTCAATCAGTTGTGAATATTGCCACGGTCCAGCACCACTTCTTACACCAAGGGTCTTGGCTACTTCCAGCCCTGTGAGACAGCCAAAGCTGAACTTTCCTCAGAATAGATTCAATTCACATGTTGGAGTCACATGGCAGTTTACAAAGCAATACGCAACTGTCAGCCTGCCCACGCCTCAGGTTTTTTCCCCATAATGACTTAAATTTTCTCTGTTTGAGTAAGTCCTGAGATGGTACCAGCTCTCCCCAGTGTTAGTCCCAGCTACCTTACAGTCTGGCCTTATCTGGAGAAAGTGCAATTTGTAATCTCATGATTACATAGCATTTGTAATCTCACATAACTGAGAGCCACAGCCCACAAGGTCAACCAAGCCTAAGAGAAACAAAAGTCACTCATTTCTCAGAGGTCTTTTTACAA